TCCGGCCCGCAAGGTGGGTGGGGGGGGCGGAGGAGGGGCAGCTAACTAGGCCGTGAGCCTCCCCCTTCACCCCTCCTCCCTGGGTCCCTCAACCCCCAGGGCGAGGGGCCCGGGCGAGGTGATTCCCAGGCTCTGAGACCTGCCCCATCGGGTGGAAAACTGCCCTCGGGCTGGCTCGGGCCGGCAGGGGACGCGGGACTCCGACCCTGGGGCAGTGGAGGAGGTGGCGGGTCCTGAGAGTGAGACAGAGGCACCCTTAGGTTGCCTCGATGGCTCTTGACCCACCGGCCTGGGACGCGCAGCGCTGTCCCAGAATGAGAGGGCAGAAGGAAACAGGATTGAGTGCCAAGAGTGTGTCCGGTCCACCTTTATGCCTCGGCCGTGAGAACTTTGTCTTAGCTGCCCTCCTCCACCCATCCCCGACCTGTGCCGTTTCTGTCCACCACCCTGCCGAGTCCTTTCCCCTCTGGCTTTTGGGTTCTCCCCCTCCGATCTTTCTGGGCAGACTCCTCCTCTCCTCCTCCCCGGACCCTCCTAGCCGGTCTCTGCCTGCCTGCACTCACCTCCCTGGCTCCCGCAGCTTTCACTCTCCACCTCTCCTGAGGCAGCAACGCCAGTGCCCCCCAATTCACCTCTCAAATCCGACTCTCCCCACCCCTTCCTCTCGGTCCCAGAGATGCTCAGCCTACGTGACACCCTCTCCCTGGCACCCAGTTCTGAAAGTTAGGCAGGCACCTGAATGGCCCAGTGAAGCCATTGACCCCTTACCACCCCTGCTTCCCAATTCTCGCCCGAATTTAAACCCAAGGTTCTTAACTTTGGGGAAGGGTCTTTGATTCCTTTGAGAAAACAAACACGCGCACACTGCAACATTCTGGTAAAATTTCAGGGCATGCGGGCACTCCTAAAAGCTGCTCTCAGAATCTGGATCGGTGGACATCGAGCGCTGGTGGGTAAGGAAGATCCCACCCACCCTGCTGGCCTGAGTGCTGAGGCAGTCCAGTGCTCCCTTCCTAGTTGGTGTCTCCTGTGCCCGTAGCGCCGACCTCCAGAGGAGACGCCTTTTTGCAGGGAAATGCAGATCAATTTCCCCGTTTCTTTCGTTTCACGGGTGACTTTTCCCATGCATTTTGCTATCGGCTTTTTTTAGCCAGGCTCAGTGGCTCAGCCTGTAATCCCGCGCCTTTGGGAGGCTGAGGTGGTGGATTGCCTGAGCCCGCGGGTTCAAGACCCGCCTGGGCAGCGAGACCTCATCTCTACAATAAATCAAAAAACCAGCCGGGTGTGGTAGCGCATGCCTGTAATTCTGGCCACTCGGAAGGCTGAGGCGGAAGGATCGCCGGAGCCCAGCAGGTCGAGGCTGCGGTGGCCGGGAGCGGCCACTGCACTCTAGTCTGGTCGACAGAGTGAGACTCCAACTCAAAAAAAAAAATTTTTTTTTAGTTTTAAAAATAAATAAATAAATAAAAATTTCGTTTTTGTCTTTACGGTCGATTTCACATAGCAGGTCTTGAATTTAGGCTTATTTAATCTCACCTCTACAGTTCCAATTCCACTCCCATTGGTTTAGCTGCCCTGCATTTCCATGTGGGACACACTCTACGTGTGACTCTAAAACAGCTAAGTTAAATCCACAAGCCGTGTGAATAATCAGTCTGTGTGTGTGTGTGTGCGCGCGCGTGTGTGTATGAGTGTGGTTTTCCGCAAACACACACATTTTTATCCAGAGTCGATGTCTGATTCACCCATGCATCTATCTCCCTCTTTTCTAAAGCTCAGTTCCCTCATCTGGACAGCCTGGGTACAAGCTGATAGGGTTTTCTGGGGCTTAAAGGAATTGATGCACACCCTGGGTAAGTACAGGTAAACCGAAGCTATCCTTGTTATAGTTATTAAATAAGCCAGTTTCCAGCAAATATTGGTTGGATTAAGGCATATGTAGGAAGATCTTCAGGCTCGAAGTTGACGGACCTAAATTCTAGCCCCTGCCCTGCACTTGCTAAACTGACCCTGGATGGTCAAGTGACTCGGCGTCAGTTTCCTCTTCGATGAAATGCGGTTAGAACAGTCACCCTGTTGGGTGAAGGACAGGGAAACCCTGAGATGCTCCAGACAATGGGGATAGAGATTTCTGATCAGTTGGGATTTCCTGCTTCCCAGCACTTAGGGGTCCTAAGATGTAAACTCACAAGAACTTCTCTGGATCTGCGTGACCATGCACAAATTGACATGGTTTTATCCCTGTTCATTCAGCCTGCAAATCCTCGTTAGCTGGGTCTGTGGGCTAGTTCACAGCAACCTCTGGAACAGAGTAGGGGCTCATCAGGTCCAGAACAGAGACTCCGACCTGATTCGGGCCCTGGCTCCTGGATTATGACTGATTTGACCTCTTGGCATTCCTTCCTCCTCCTCCCAGCCGCCTGCTGTTGCAGCGTCTTCTGCTCTTAAGGTGCTAACGCTTGCCTGGAGTGGGATCTGACTACTCCAGGTGGAGAAACTGAGTCCCCTTCCCATTCATAGGCTCCAGATTGCATCATCTTCCCCCGCCCCTACCGTCTTTCCCTGGAAAGCAACAGGGGAGGGGAATCCAGCCCGAGGATGGTTGCTGCTCCGCCCCGCTTTCCCCCCAGGCCCCCTTAAGTCCTACTCCCCGCTCTGACCAGCCCCAAAGCCACCTGGGGTTCCCAGGAGCGGAGACATTCTACCTGCCTGCGGCTCATCAGCACGACGTTCAACAATAAAGAAGTTGTCTTGGGAAACTCTCAGGCATCCTGACTTCTTGCCCCGTCTAGGTCTCTCTGCCTTGCAGCCAGGGTGTTAGCAGTCTTTCTTCCAGGTCCCCCTCTCCCTGCGTTCCTCTGCTTCCAGCCCTTTTGATTCCCACTTGTTAGATGTTTTCCCACCAAACATTGGCCATGGTCTGATATTGACATGACCAAGGTCATCACAGCCCATGGTCCATCTTCATATCTTCACTCAAAGTTGAACAGCGCTGCCCATCGCATCTCCCATGCAAACTGAGATCCGCCTGGGACTTGGGCCATTGCTGCTCCTCTGCCATATTCTCTCAAGGGTGTGAATAGTCAGATTCCCCCTAAAGTGTCTGCCTCCTGTTCCTGCCATCCCCATCTTCTCAAGCTTTGTTTGTAGTCAGCGATGCATTTTGTACCAGAGCAGCCTCATTCATCTACCTAACCAGCATTTATTTGCTGAGCACCTACTATGTTCCTGGTGCTTTACACAAATCTCTAATTTTCATGAGCATACAGCAAAGTAATTATCTTTCCCATCGTACAGATAAGGGAGCCAAGGATCAAAGAAGTGAAATGATCTGCTCAAGATTACAGAGCTGTTCAGAGACAGAGGAGGAAACTGAGTCCAGATCTGTTGGGCTCTGAAGCCTGTTTCTGCTTGCTATTCCACCTGACCTCAGGATAGCAGATGACCCTGGGACCCTGACTCCCCTCCAACCTGAAGGTGGAGGGGACAGCATTCTTAAACTGATCCCCAGATCGAAGCCACCTGCCATCCTGAGGCTAATAGGACAAACTGATCCCATCTCGAATTGCTGGGACAAGTCACACGTTACACCCACGGTCCCTCCCCAACCTCAACTGACCCATACAGATCACACTATGAAAATGTCAAAGCTAGTCTGCCCACACAAATTGTCAGTCCAAACTCTTGTTTTACTGGTAGGGAAACTGAACTCCAAAACAGGGAGGTGAGTAGCTCAAAGTGTGACTTGTGTGACTTACACAGCAAGTCAGAAGCAGAACAGGAACCAGAGCCCAGTGGCTTCCTAGTTGCTTACTTTTCCCCTCTCCCCCCAACTCCTACCTCCAGGCTGCACTTCCAAGACTGCAGGGGGTGACCCTGGATGAAAGTACATTCTTTCTTTCCCATCTTTTCCCGACTTGACTCTCAGATTCCTGTAAAACCAGGTAGCGCCTAGAGCTGGAGCCAAATGGTTTTCTTTTATTCACCCTTTATTCACTCAACAAACACATACTTGGGTAGTCTACCTAAGGTCAAGCACTATGCTGGACACTAATTCTATTATTCATTCAAACATCACTAGCACCCACCATCCCTTTTTAGTTAGGAAGACAACCCCAGCTGAGGGTAGTACACCTGAATGTTTGTGTGCATCCGTATGTGCGTGTATCTGCAGATGTGTGTGCAGGTCATGCCTGTGTGTACCTGTGGGCTTGAGTGTAAGGTGTCTGTTGTCTGTCCTCCACCATAAAGGGAGTTCCCCAGAGGACGTGGACAGCAGATCTTCCCTTACTATCTCTGCAGGTGTCCTGCTACTCATGAACTCCCAGCCGTGAGTGTGAGCCCTATTAATGTTTGCCCACTCTCTCAGAATGAAGTCCCCAGGTGTGCATTCCTCCCTCACGACCCTCCCAGTTTCAGCTCAGTCGAGCCAAAAGACTTCCAAGGGACTGCTTTGCTTCTGTAAGACCCCCACCAAGATCTCCCTCTTATTCCCACCTCCCCAAGAATCAAGCCTTCCAGGCTCTATGACCCCTGCTTGAGAGTGGAAACCTGGTCCTCTCTGTGGGGGACCCCTATACTGGACAGGAAATGGCCTCTCTTACCAGTCCATGGAGCCCAGAGATGGCAGCTGCAGTGAGGGGCAAGTGGCAGTGATAAAAGAGCAGGCTTTATAAAGGAGGCGACAGGCAGCGCCAAAGGGGGAGGTGAGGGAGCGGGCAGAGATGCTGCCAAGTCCTCACGGCCTCGGAAGCTTTTAGGATAATCCAGGAAACAGTGGCCCGGCTCTTCTGGGGGAGTTGTAGGAGGTGAGATCTGAGTCCGTGAGGTCTGCCAGGAAAGGAGGATTTTAGCTGGAAGAGGTGGCTGGGGGTGGGGGCTGGGGGGTTTCAGGGACTTCCTTCCTTCCCCTGGGCAGCGAAGAGGGACAAAGTGGCTCTCGCGGGGTGGAAGAAATGAGAGCATTGCTAGGGGAGAGAACTGGGGCAGCTGGGGCACTCCAAATTCCATTCCCCTCCTTCTGGGGACTTGGTGGGAAAGAAACAAGTTCCACTTTTAAGACCTGAAACACACACACACAGCCTCAAGCCTGCATTTCCCTGCAGAGCCCAGGGCAGAGCTAGTCTTTCACTGCTGTTCACATGCTCATTTCCCAACTTGGAACTCCCAGTCCACCTTTCTGACCTGGGGTGTCTCAGTGTCAAATGGGAAGGGAGGTTCCTCTCCCTGTCTTGGAGTGGGACCGCTTGGGATGGATGCGAGGTCACCTGAGACCAGAGGCAGTGTCCAGCCAAGAGCTTTTATAGATAGTTCGGGGCTCCTGGATATCCGGGAGAGTGAGGAGGCTGAGAAGGTGGCCTGGAAAAGGGAGGGAGACGGGCCTGGGGGTGAATTCAGGTGGTGCCCTCACATCCCCAACTGTTTACATGAGCCTAATTTTGGGGCGGTTGTGAGTTTAGGGACATTGGCTAACAGAAGTGTGTCCTGGGGCAGAGACGGACAAAGACCAAGAAGCAGAAAGACATGAAACAGGAGACCAGCTTCCCAAAGCTCTCTGAAGTTGGGAATTCCGACTCACGTAGCCCAATGCCTTTGGCACCAGAGCAGGAGCTGCTGCACGCCCCCTGCCCCCCAGAACTAGTACTCCGAGGCTTGTGTGCTCTCCCCACCCACTGGGTGATCCAGGGAGTCTTCACCCCAAACTCTTCTCCTGCTCCTCCCCCACCCCCCAGCAATCTCTAGACGGGGGATTCCCAGGCTCTTCATTAACTTTTCAGCAATTATCCCAAAAAGGCCCTGACAGGTCCTTCCTCTCCCCATTTCAGAGATGAGAACATTGAGGCCCTTAAGAGGTAAAAGCTCAGCAGAGAGCCACCCATCGAGCAGGAGAGGATGGAGCGGTGGGGGTGGTGCTTAGGAGGCAGAGGTGCGCCTCTTCATAGGCAAAATTGGGGAGACTGGGCCGGCACCACTCTCTGGGGGAAGCAGGACGTCAGGACTCAGGCAGGCTCCAGGGAGGGGCTTCCCGGTCCCTCCCCACCTTCCAGCCCAGAAATCAGAGTGCAGGGGGGACAAGCTGAGGAGACCACACAGGTGGAGTAAATAATGTTAATACAGGAGCATTATCACTAGGGCATTTCCTCATGGATAAATGTCTCAAATACCAAAGGATGCTTCCAAATTATAGTTAATTACAGAGTTGATTTGCATAAATTATAAGGTGAGCATACAAATTCTTTCAATCGGTTCCATATGCTTAGGTAGCAGGTCCAGTCCAAAAGATGGTAGAATCTTGGGGTGGGGGGAGTTCGGGAGAGGAAAAAGACCCAGTCCTTGACTTGGACATTTGGGGCCACATGCTGTCCCCGGT